TACTGTTTTGTTAACTGAGGTCATATGGATCTCACAAGCCTGAGAGGAAGGAACGGGGAGTTGGGGGGGCGGAAGGGGGCTGCTGTCACCTTGGGGGGCCCACATGTAATCTAGACGGCAACCTGCAGCTGCCTGCATCTTTCATGCGTAGATGGAGCTTGTGGATATACAACCACCCGCCCGTATCAAGAGGCAGCATGGCATACAAGAGCCGCTAGTCTCTAAGTGGTGGCAGATGGAAAGTTCATGCAAATTAGATGTGGCCCCCAGTCTCGTGGCATGTTGCCAGCACGGCGCCTCTCCCCTCTCCCTCCGCCCGTTCCCCCCCCCGCGCCAGGCTGAGCAAAATTTGGGCCCTGACATCTCGGTGACTCTGCCTGCCGCGACCGAGAGTGATTTAATGTTGTATCGTTTTAAAGTTTTCCGCCAAGCATTTCATCTGTGAGTGCCAAGCACAATCTGGCTTTCATAAGGGATGTGTTCGCCTGCCCTGCATGAGGAACGCAGTCCCTGAAAATGATAGCTCGAGGGAGGAGAGTGGAAAATTAGGCACAGCTAGGGCTGGCCGGAGTGTCTGAAGAAGGCTGCCAGTGATTCGTGAGCGGCAGCCAGGCCAGTGCTGGGTATTACTGGGCAATATATTCAGCTTGTTTTTTTAAAAGGCTAGAACACTTCCGACAGCGGATCTGTCTGGTTCCTAGCAATCCAGGGAAGGAGAGTCTGTGCTCTTTGCTGAGTGCCTATGGATTCCTTTCCTGCCAGGATATTTTTTGTGTCAGGCTTTTGGGCCCCCTTTCGGCAAGGCACTTAAGCATGTGCTTAGTTTTACACATGTGGCTAACCCAATCCCTATTCACCAAAGCACCTAATCACAAGCTGAAGCCAACAGATATAAATAAGCGCTCAAAGTTAAGCAGGTGCTGAAATGCTTTGCTGCATAGGAGCCTTGGAGATTAGTAGGCTCCTCCGTGCCCGCTCCAGCAACAAACCAAGGAGGGAAAGAGAAACTAAATACATTTAATCGGAAGTGCCCCATCTGTGAAGCAGAGGTAGGGCTGCCCCCTCACTCAATGGGTGTATTGCATGTTCTGAGGAGCTCTGCAGGAATAATGGGACACCGGCAGGTCAAGGATCTCCACAGAGAGAGCTGGTGCCTCTACACTACACTCCGGCTCCTCACAGCCTCATTACAGCATGGCTCCTTCAGCCTCTGTACGGCCACACAGCGCTTGACAGTCCCTGTCCCCCAAACCTGCCCCAGAGGGGTCTAATGCTTGTGGGCTCTGCCCTTTCCCCAGTATCACCCCCTTCTGATCTGCAGGGCCCTGCGAAGTGGCTTCCTCAGGATCGGAAAATGGGGATGATGACTAGGTGTCTGGTTTTGAACCAGAACGACTGGTCGAAAAGGGACCCTGGCGGCTCCTGTGAGCACAGCTGATCAGGCTGTTAAAAAGTCCAACTGGCAGCGCAGTGGGGCAGGCAGGCTCCCTGCCCGGCTCTGTGCGGCTCCTGGGAAGTGGCGACATGTCCCTCCATGGCCAATGGGAGCTGCAGGAGTGGCTCCTGTGGGCCGGAGCAGTGCGCAGAGCCAACTGGCTGCCCCTCCACTTAGGAGCTGGAGGGACATGTCACTACTTCCTGGGAGCCACCTAAGGTCAGTGCTGCATGGAGCCCACACCCCAAACCCCCTCCTGTGCCCCAACCCCCTGTCCCAGCTCAGAACCCCCTCCCACACCCAAACTCTCTCCCAGAGCCTGCCCCCTCCTGCACCCCAACTCCCTGTCCCAGCCTTGAGACCCCTCCCTCACCCTGAACCCCTCATTTCTGGCCCCACCACAGAGCCCGAACCCCAAGCCCAGAGCCCATACCCCCTCCTGCGCCACTACCCCAGCCCTGAGCCCCCTCCCACACTCCAAACCCCACAGCCTAGGGCCTCCTCCTGCACCCCAAGCCCCTCATCCCCGGCCCACTCCAGAGCCCATACCCTGCCCCACACCCCAAACCCCTGACCCAGTCTTGAGCCCCCTCCCTCACCCTGAACCCCTCATTCCCGACCCCACCCCAGAGCCTGAACCCCAGCCAGAGCCCTCACCCCCTCCCACACCCCAACCCCATGCCGCAGCCCGGTGAAAATGAGTGAGTGAGTGAGTGAGTGTGGGGGAGAGCGAATGACGGGGGGGAGGGATGGAGTGAGCAGGGGCGGGGCCACAGGGCAAAGGGCGGGACAAGGGTGTTCAGTTTTCTGCAATTAGAAAGTTGGCAACGCTAACAATGACACTATGTGGCCAGTGTTTCTTCCCACTGCTCCGCCCAGCTCCACCCACACTGGCCACCCTAAACATGCAGAGGTGGAGGGTATAATCGGACCAGAATTGTGGGTGGGGGAACAGGGAAAATTTTGCTCTCCTACAGGTATAAATTTGGAGTAATTTCACCTGCTGAGAGTAGAATGTGGACTTATGGAGTCCTGATTGCTGGGAAAGGAAGAGGCAGTAAAAAGCCCAGTTAAAACAGAAATGCTTTTTAAGGAGAACGAAGATGTCCTGGTGGTTAATAGGATGTTTTTAGCCAGAGGCTCTGTATATACAACAGTAAATAAGCTTTTCTTTCCCATGGACTTTTGTTTGGGGTACTCTTCTTAAAAGCTCCTTCTAGCATTACATAAAGTAACAGAGTCCCTTTCTCACCCTGTGTGTCCTGAAGGAGTAGCTGCTGTCCCCAGAGAATCTCTTGAAGGTGGAGGGTTTCATTCAGGCTCTTTCTTGAGCAGCAAAATAGATTCTGGTTTAAGAACACGTTGGCCAACAGATTTTAGCTAATGTTCTTCATCACTAATGTAGATAGGGTGAAACATCATACAATATATTTGCTGGTGGTGGTCACCCCCAGGGTTTAAAGGTGCTAAAACCTGTCTACGCTAGTGTTTTTAAAAATGCACCGGTTTAAATGTCTTAGCTAACCTTTTTAGCTACACTGGACAAGGGCTCAGGTACAGAGCCACTGGAGTAACGGAGAAGAACTTGGCCCTGAGGTTTTGAACTTCACTTTCCTTTCTCCAGCTGTGTGTGGCTCATTAGGAAAAAAAGAGAAGTGCAAATACATCATTTTACTATGCCTATTTTAGGAATACATAGGACTGCGTGAATATCTGAGTCAGATCATTTTTAGCTCTCAGCGCTATTTTCAAGCTTCAGCAGTTGTGTACTCACATTGCACAATTTATATTTTCACTCAAGGGAATTACTGCTTTGTTGGCAGGTAGATTACTGTCTAGTCCTAGCATCTACCCCCAGGAAGGAAAAAGATCAAGCTGTGTTGCAGTGTTTTCAACTGAGCTGTAGAACTGAATCCATACAAATGGCTTTTTATACTTTGCTTGGGCATTGCAAAATGCAGCCTTTGGTGCCTAATGGGACATTTTCATGATGTGTTTTCATTTTAGTAACAGGGAGAGTGATGAGGTGAGTTAGCAAATCTTACACTTTGTCATCTTACTTTGGTCAGGTGTTATTTTTTCTTGCTGTGGGAGCAGGAAGAACGGTTGTGAGTTTACTGCCTCCTATTGTATAATCAGTTCACAATTTTCTGGTGTCAGGAGAACACTTGTAAATTTTTTTTTCTGACAAAAACTTTTTTTCTCTCCATTGCTGCTTTCTTATGTTGGAGGCATAGGTGCAGGAACTAGTGGTGTTGGGGGTGCTGCTGCACCCCTTGGCTTGAAGTAGTTTCCATTGTATACAGGATTTACAGCTTGGTTCAATGGCTCTCAGCACCCGTACTGTACAAATTGTTCCAGCACCTCTGGTTGGAGGCTTTCTAATCACATAATGCCTGAACCTTGCAATCTCTGCGGTTAATTTTAGTGGATGTATAAAAATAACTTTTTTTTTGGAGGTGGGTGTGCTTTTTTTTAGGAGCCAAAATAGAATTGGATGGCAGTTTATTTCAGAACAGCCCTACAAAGTGTTATCTAAGTAAGGACTGCTTTGAATTTTATTTTTATCTTCATGTTAAAAAAACCCCCAATCATCTTGTCTGAAGAGCTTCCGTGGCTTGATTTTTTAAAATGCTAAATTATAGATTCTCCCATCTAAATTTTTAAGTGACTAATGATTTTGGTTGCCCATTTTGGGATACCGTAAAGGAACCTGAATTTCAGAGGAAGGGCACTGAATACTTTCTGAAAACGAGGTGTCTTTAATTGGGCATTCAAAAATTAAAGCAAAAAAAAACCAAACACTTGTTGGAATATTTTGCACTTGAAATTATGGCTCCAGTCCCCAAATTTGTTGCTTCCTATGGATGGAAATGTGAATTTTTTTTAAGCTGAAGTATCTTGGAATAAAATGTGAAGAAAAAAAAAACATTTGCTGAACAGGAAAAACAAATATGCAACAATAACACAAATATTTATCCTTGATCAGCCAGGGAAAGAACATTAGCATTAGAAATTAGAATTTGGGCTCCTTCACAGATGAAAGAATACAAATGTCTTTCAGGTTTTTTAAGGCTGTTCCCTGAAGTGTGTTTCGAGCTGTACTGAAACTGTAAATGTGATTTGTACTTTACACAAGTGGCGATCCCTCAAATAAATTAAAAAAAAAAGATATTGAAAAGCCACACAATACAGTGGGCTTTGAAGATTTCAAGAAATTGGCCTTAAGATCAAAGTCTTCAGCAGAGTTAGGAAATACACCTTTTCGTGTGTGCATGTTTGTTAAAGGGATCAAAGATCTATAGACACCCAAGACAAGACAAATATTTGATAATTGAAGGAGACAGGCTAATGTTGGCTTTGGGGCTTTTAGCAGGATGCAGGTGACAGATCCCACTCAGAGGGACCCTGGCTCAGCTGTACTCGGCTTTCCCAGGAAGGTGATTGTGCAGAACTGCCCAGGCAGGAAACAACAATCCTGCCTCAACTTTCCACCTCCCCGCCCCAAGGATTTTGGGCAGGAACCTACTTACAAAGCTGCCACCTAGAGGCGCTTTTCTGCGGTGTATATAACAGCGAGGCAGCTGGAAAGAGCACTCAGTCTTTTGAAAACGGCTCTGCGATCAGGGTCTGAAGGCAGGAGGAGAAGGAGGGGAGAAGCCCGGCCGGTAGGTAAGGAAACGAGCTCTGCTCAGCGCTGTAGGGCAGGGCTAGAGAAAGGGAGAGCGTGGGAATGCGAAGCAGGCTGGGCTCCTGGGGCCCAACGCGTGCTTGCTCCTGGGGGGGAATTCACCGAGGCTGGGAAAGGTGGGGGCATTAGAGAGCTGCCTTGAAATGAGCATTAAACTGCAAACGCGGGCTGCTTTCGCTCGGTGGGGCTGGGGGGGTTGCCCGCCCCCGGGCGGAAGGCAAACCCAGTGGCCCGGGGGAGAGATCCTTCCAAGTGGCTTTGTTTTGCATTCGAGATTAGTCAGCGTGGATCTTGTATTGGAGAGAGTGACCTCTTACTCCAGGGCCGACTCCCCTCCTCGGGCTCTGACCTCCAGACTTAACCCCGCGGCTGGGGCCGAGTCTCGGGATGCGGACAGAGACAGCGCCCCCCCGGGCCACTGACATGCCTGGGTCGTTTGGGGGAGGAGAGCAGCGTGAGCGACTTCAGTCCAGCGTTCCCGAGACTAGCTAGGAAAACCTGCCGCGATTCTTTCCCCCGGGACTGGCTCGGGCTAGATCGAAATGTGCAACGTGCGTATTGCGGCCGCGGTCGTCAGCAGGCGTATTGGTGGGTAACTAACTGATGATACCCTCTGACCTCCCCTACAATCCCGGGCTGCTTACCAGGCGGCTCAGCTCCGGGAGCTGCAGATCTCCAGGTTACCTAGAGTCCTGTTTCTGGAGGCCACCAGGGCTCATCCGATCCGATCTGTTTGTCTTTCACTCTTACCTGACCTCTCCTTAGAGGCGAGAAAACGGAAGGGAAGCGCAGATGCCTTGACAGCAAACGCCCCTGTTTTAATAAGCGAAGCCTTTGAGCGGGGCTAGGAGAGTTTGTTGAACCGTCGGCATGGGCTGTAGTCGGGCAGAGCCCCTTAAAGGAAGCCTGGGATGGATGCGCAATAAACGGGAACTTCTGGGGGGTAATGAGGCGCTGTAAAGTTATTCCAGCCCGTTGTTAAAAGCAGCATAATGAGGTTTAAAAATGGGAGGGTGCCTCATTAAAGGGTTTATGGAGGCATTTGGTGACATTCCCCAAAGCTTGCATTCTGCCAAGATCGAAGGGCCGCGGTGGTAACTTTTTTGTTCTTTCTCTGACGCAGATGTTGCCTTTGTGTCTGTGCCTTTCTGAAGGCAAAACGTGGAGCTGAAGGAAGGGTGCCTTGCATTTTATTTGCATGCCTAGCAAAGAAAGCACAGCCTGGCTGGAGTCTCTTCGCAACTTTTCACCAGCAGGGGGCCCGATTCACCTCCTGTTGAAGTTCGAGTGGGCAAAACTTCCACTGATCTGAATGGGAGCAGGATCGGGCCCGTAAGAGGGAACATATATATATATTTTTTTTGCAATTCATCCTTCACCTTAGGAATGTTTCCAGGGAAAGTCATTGCCCGGGCTTCTAAATCAGGGTTAGCTCTTCTCTTCCCATTTTTGGGGTGAAATGTTTGAGGAATAAATACATCAGATATTGGATGCAAAAATGTAAAATGATGTTGCAAACCTCACCTATTCCTCCCATCCTGGGTGTGCGTGGGAGTCCCCCCCCCACACCCCTAAAAAAATCCTGTGGAATGAAAAGCATTCCCCCCGCCAGACTGATCTTACCCAAAGATATATGATGTTCTGTGAAATAATTCACACGATACAGAGAGAACGGCTGGTTAGCAGCAATCCTCAGAGGATCTATAAATATCTCCTAATGGGGGCCCATCAACTTTCTGGATTTGAAATGCTTTTAAATTCTGAACAGTAGCTTTTTGTGCGACTGTTTCAGGCATAAAGTCAAACTGTTTTCATCCATCGAGAGAATGTGGGAGCTGCTTGAGTGTAACACAAGTGGAAGAGAACGCAGGCTATCAGGGTAGGCAAAATGAGCAGCATAACTGTATCTAAGATGCTTATTTGTGCTCCAGCATCTCTCTCAAAACTATTATGCATAGCCACTGTCCATGCTTGTCTGAGAGGACTTTAAAGGCCAGGCGTATTGATGGTGCAATGCAAACATTTGGCAGAAGAAGAAACTCCCTCTCCCTGGGTTTGAAGAGGTGGTGGTTGCAACCCCTGTTAACTCTGCAGCCAGCTCTGCTTTCAGTTGTACACTGAGGGAAACCCAGAGTAGCTCCAGGGAAGTTAATGGATCTCCTGTGGATTTCCACTGGTGTGACTGGGAACAGCTTGATTGTTTGGTAAGCGTTGGCAGCATGCTTTGCACTTCCCAAGAGAGGGCAACTGCACTAAGAGTTCACAGGTGAAGGGCTTGACCCTGCAAACACCTACCACTGAATAAAGTGCTGGCCTCAGACTCTGTAAGTGTTCCCAGGATCGGGCCCTAAACACCAAACCAGAAAAGACCCTGGAAAGACACAAGAAGGATTAACACAATTCTATTACATGCATACAGTAATGGCTGAGGGTTTTCAACACCACTGTAACTCACTCACCAAATAACATCTCATGATAGATTACCCCTATCAAGTGGGACAGCAACAAGTACTTACCTTGTCTAAATGCTTTTCGTAGCAGATAGTTTTTATCAGCTCAAAGAAAGAGAGAGGAAAGAATGGGCGGGGCTAGGGAGTGGAGTGTAAAGCTGTCTGGAATTGGTTGGTTGAGACACAGATAGTGGGAATGATTGCAGAATTGCAGACCAGAGTTAGCTTGGAGAAACCTCAGAACAACTCTTTGTTAGGGGTCCAGTGTATATTGATGGGTCGGGTAGCTACTCTTCTCCTGTACTGATCTCTCTAATTTAAAACAGATTGTTCCTTTAAATGCAAGGTTACATCTGTTATCAGCCTTCCATGCTAAACCACCATCATGTCTAAAAAGCGAGCTGAACACGGAAAGAGCCAAATTACTTTAGGCAGCCACACTGAGGGGACTGATAGGCTTTTTTTCCACCCCCGAAACTAACCTGGGTGGGAATCTGAGCTCTTGTTACACAGCCAATCCCAGACTACAGACAGACTGGCCTTTGCATGCTGTAATCTCTGAATGAATATAGCTGTCAGGATTTCAATTCCAGCAGCTCCTCCCTGGCTGGGGATTTGAGCACAATGGACCATATCAGCTTTCTGGATGGAGTTCTTTTATCACTGACTGGGTGTGTGGGTTTATATAGAATCACACATGGAGGTACTCACACACACAGAGTAAAGGGATAGTGGCCTGCTAAGATTCACCAGATGTACAGGATGGCCCTAATTTGCATGCAGCAAGATCACAAGAGTCCTTATTTAATGAGTGGTCAAGATTGCATTGTTTTTGGCTTAGCTGGCTCACCAGACCAGACAGCCTTGCTATTCTAGGCTCAGTGCTGGCAGGTGGCCAGAGTCCTCAGGTCAGTTTAAGCTCTCTGCTTTCAAGGGATATTATGCTCCCATTTTTTGCATACATTTCACCAGGGAATAGTTACACAGTATGTTTTCTGTGACCCTGATGACCTAACACCATGCATTGCCTTGGTTTGTCTTAGATTACATTTGCTTACAAGTAACCTTAGAGGATTCCTAATGGTATGAGGATGATGTCTTCACCTTGATAGTTAACTTGGATCAGTGTCTTTGTTTGTGAAGTCAACAGTTCATTCAACTATTAATATATCTCCCTAGATCAGGTGATGCCCTTCCAGTTTGCAATTAGGCATCCAAAGGAGAGGGACTAGTGTTACAAAAGGGGTAAATGTGACCCAAAGGGAAATACTTTTGAAATGCGGCAGTATTGTCAGTCCCCACTCTTCCAAAATCACAAGTCAGACCCCCCCTTTGAATCACATGATTGGCTTAACAATCATGAGATTTTTTAAAAAAATATCCGGGTGCGGTTTGCTTCCTGGGTTTTGAGGTGCTAGAGCATACAGGGGTCACATTTTCAAACTCTTCTGCACAACCATGAGGCCTTGAAGTGTTTTATTAAAAAATGAAAGTGGAGAGTCTCCCATAATCCTGCTGGCAACTGCAACTTTAACATTTTGACTTGGAACGGCAGATCGCTGAAAACAAACTGCTTTTTTATTTATAGCCCTCTCCCTGAGATGTCCCTGGCTAAGATATGGTTGGTGCTTTATTTCTTGAGCAATCTTAACGCCATTCACAGCCCTCGTGCTGATGACAAGATAGCCTCTCTATAGTACGTTTTATATGCTGATTTTTCCACATGGGACACACTGGAGCATGTGCCTTTAAGCCAGTGTTGTCTTAACTGAGCCTTCTAGTCTCCTCAGACCAAATACATTGCTGTTGTAACTCCCCTGATCTTGATAGCATAACACCAGAGAGGGATTTGGCCCATCTTTGGCAGATGGCTCATAAGCACACAGCACGCAGGTGCATAGTTTTGGCAGATGTGGATGAGAAATCCTCAGCAAAATCTCAGAGGCAGATGGGCTCAGAATGATTGATTTATTTGAGCAGAGACTGGCCTCTCCTGAGATGCCATAACAGCAAAGTGCAGGGAAGCCTGTCTTGTGCCCTCTGACTTACACGTCAGAATAAATCAAGAGGTCGGCATGAGCCTTCTCCCTGTGCTTTGCTCCAGTAACAGCAGTTATTACAAAACTCTGGTGGCCTGTTCTGAGAATTGCTGAGCAGCTGGAAGTCCAGCTGAAGTCAGCAGAAGCTACGGTTGCTCAGCACCTGGGAAAACTCGAACCCAATGTCTCCTGTCTATGGTACTTATCTGGCCTCCATCACAACACCTGGGTCTTTAATGCATTTATCCTCAGAGCACCGCTATGAGGCAGGGCAGGCCTATTCTCCCCATTCTACAGATGGGGGAACTGAGGCCCAGAGAGACTTGCCCAAGACACATCGGAAGCCTGGGGCAGGGCAGGGGATTGAACCCAGGCTAGTGCCTAACCACTGGACTATCCTTCCCCATGAAGGAGAAGGAAGAATATTGAACGGATCGTCTTCAATCCATTCTTGCTCTGTGACGAGTTTAATTCTCTTTGTGTGAAATGAGACATGTTCTGCCTTTAGAGTGAATGGGACTTGGGCCAGATCCTCAGAGGGTTTAAATTGATGTCTCTCTATTGACTTCTGGGGTGGATCTGGCTCACTGTGTTTTGCAAGCTTCTCTGTTTGTTGTGGCTGTTACGCTACAGGAATCAAATAATGCTTGTGGGAGCTAATGCCTTTGAAGTGGGAAGTAAACCTGAGTCGCCCCGTCGCGCCCCCCGCCCCCCCCCCCCCGTGCCGGTCTAACTCTTGCCTTTGCATTCTATACAGTGCCTGTAGCCGTGCTCCCAGGATACCTGAACACGCTGATTTCCACAGCGGACTGGTTTTTCCTTTTGCTATAGATCATTATGAGTCTGGAAGATGAAATCCTCATCATTGCGTAGGTCAGATGAGATTTCTCTCTGCGCTTGTATTTAAACACTACTGCTTGGCACATGCCCAGAACTGAATGGAAACCAGCAAGGAATACAGCTCTTCAAATAAGATCCTGGCCTCTATGATTAGCCACAAAGAGCAGTTCCTCCAGTACTGGGCATGAGCTGAAGCAGCTTCGTTTTACTGAAGCGAGGCTGTCCTTATTAAAACAACTGGTTACTCTTTTATTTAACGATGCCCATTTTGCTCCCAAAGCTCTGACTTCAGACTGTCAATGGGCTAAAAGGATGATGGTCCACGTGCACTTAAAGTGATGATCCAAACCATGTCCCAGGACAGTCTGTTCACTCTTTACATAGGGGTCTGATCTCTCCCGTTATTATCACCACTAAGTGTCCAGCCAAGGAACAGTGGACCCGTTAATACTCGTCTGTTATTGTTTCCCCTTATCTCCCCTCTCTCTTCCTCAGCTTGTATCAACAGCAGCACCCGCTGTTGGGCTTGCCCAGCACTAATCATGTAAATTGGAGCATGCCCCTTGAGCCACGCTGTGTACGCAAGCAACTACCTCCCTGCAAGGCCAGGCTCGCCTCATGCACTCCTTGCAATTTCAGTTCCCAACAGAGTAGTGCTTCGAGCAGCCTAACGTTATGTCACGTGGCGCTGATTTTCCTTGTTCGTTCTTGCAAAGTAGCAGGCCCCACAAACCCTGCTGAAGTGTCCTGTGTATCCGAAAGATTCTTTAACGAGGAGAGAGGGAGATCGGGACTGTGCACAAATGCAGACTGCCATGTAAATGCTTTCTTTGGCGTGGCAGCGTAACAGTTTGTTAAATCAAATTAATATTGCCCCAAAGGCAGCAGCAGAAAGCAGAAGGAGTGGGTCATAGCTACACCCTTTTCCTTTAATGGGAGAGGCTACGTATGTGTAAAAAAAAAATAAACCCTTGTGCCTGGCAACCATCCAAGATGTCTAAATTTCAGAAAACAGTTCTATCCTAAGGGGGAGAAGAGGAAAGGGAACCATAAAAAAAGCCATGAAGTGAGGCAGAGATTGAGGAATTTCTTGTCCAGCTGACCCCTTGTGTACCATCCCTCCGGGCCTGCCCAGGAGGCCTGCTTGTAAAGGCTGGCCCAGTGGGCAGAGTGAAACAAGAGAAGAGCTCCATGCTAAGGTGAAGGGACCAGGAGAATAACACTCTTTTCCGCAAAGCCTGGGCCAGAGTGTGGGAGTGAATTACTGCCCCGCCCTGGAGGGGTAGCATTGCATGCCCTCCCTCCACTGACTCCAGTTCACTAGGAGGGAGTTTGTACCATTTGTATGGCATCCGGTGGGTTGTACCATTTTCCTCTTCTCAGGCTGGTATGTAGCATCCCTATGGCTTGAGGAAGGGTCTGTTCCCTTGGGACAGCACAGCGCTGTGATTTCAGAGCACGCTCAGCTGAGTCACACCGGTTTATAAAGTGGAGGTAACTCCACTGAAATCAATGGGCCTGATTCTCTGCTGCCCTGCTCCTTGTGTTGTCATTTATCCCAGTGCTAAGAGCGTATATGATGCGCCCAAACTGGGACTCCGTGCTCCCTCTCACCAGTGTTAGGGTTTCAGGCTCATTTTGCACTACAACTGCAGGCCCTGGGGAGTCAGGCCCAGTGGTGTTACACTGGGGTGAAACCAGAATGAGTGAGAGGAGAATTGGGTCCCGATTGCCCTTAACCCCTCACTCCTTCTGGCTGATCCCAGGCACAGCTGCTGTTCCTGGTCTTGCTTCATACTTGTGGCAACTAACCAGAATGGTTTCATTTTAAAAGCCCCAAATAAAACCTGGAGCTCAGAGCAAGAATCTATAATCACTTTGGAGAGCTCCAAATTCTACCCACATAAGCCTTTGCTTCCAAGGAATTTGTCCTCAAGCCTTCTGCTGCTGTTACTGCATATGCACAAAGGTGGATGAGGGCTAGCATATCCAGTAAAGACCTGGGACATCTCATTAAATCCCTATTCACTTCTCCTTGTGGTGACCCTTCCCTACTCATTTCCTGGCGGCACATTGATACAGTTCCTCGATGGTGAGATACGGCTTCAGCAGCCTCCCAAAGGTCTTGTCTATACTTGGAATTAGCCCCGATTTCGGCCATTGGCATTGCGCACCAGTGCGACCCCCTAGTGGAGAACAGGGAAACTACAGGTGGATTTAGTCCTTGAAACAGAATTAGGTGTACAGGTGCAAATCATGTCTACACTAAGGGTTTGTATTGGTGCAACAAAACTGGTGCCTGGCTGAAACTGGGGCTAAATCTAAGTGTAGTGTAGATGTTACACACTGATCTGCGTTTTACCTGTCTCTCTCTGCCCGATCCACAAGGGATGTGAGTCTGTTACAGCCCCCACCTACTGTGCCTGGTCTTTTAGCGCATGCTGTAGATACTCATACTTTTATTTCCTGAGATCACTGGTTCAGTCCCTGATATTGTCAGCCACGTTGGCAGCCCTCACAAAGACAAGGTCTTAGAAAGGCTGACTTGCTGCTGTGGGTGGTATTGTACCGTCCACAGGGTTGCGGTGGCTGTTTGCCACTCCCAATGGGTAGCAGTAACTGCCAAAATGGGTCCTGGATTTTGTGGGAAGCTGTAACATTCTGTTGGTTCCATCCTTCTGCTGGCAATACACGTAACAAGTAGCTCACCTCTTTATCTCCTCTCTGCAGACGGAGGAACTGTTGAAGCAAAAATAATAATAAAACACATATATAGAAAGTGTGTGTTGCTGAGAGAGAGGCTGAGCTTCAGCAGCTGGGGTGAGGGCATATTCTTAAATCCAAGCTCTCTTCTAAGAAAGAAAAATGAGTCTTGCTGCTCTCAGTTACACAGCAGCCAGGCTCCAATTCTCTCACTGCGACATCATAATTGTTAAACACAGAGGGATGCTTCATTAGATGTAATTGAGAGGGTGGGGAGCAAGAGCCTGGATTGAAATTGGGAGGAGAGTACAAAGGTCTTAGGTCTACACTTCTGTTTAATGCATCTGGAGCTGTACTTGATGTGATGCTTAACAGAACCTGTGGTAACTGTTTTACAGTACTCTCAGCCAGATCAATTCTACTATGCTTGAGGGAGTGCAGATAAAATGGCTTAAAGATTTCCCTGCTAAAAGTGATAGCATCATCTTTTCTGTTGCAGAAGACAGATTCAGTTGCATGACATTTATTTGGCCATGGTGTACTTTGTGGATTTCACACCCAGGGACTACAGCCAACCTGATGATGTCATACACAGACTAATAAAAAAGCACACAAAAAGCCAATGTTGTTTCTCTTTTGCAGACCACATGAGTTTTGTTTTGTGTTCCTCAGTCCCAGCTTTCTCTTTAACTGAAAGTACTTTATGAGGATATGACACAATTTAAACAAAGCACCCAATAGACAAAATGTTCGCAGAGGGATAGCACAAGTGTTTTGATACAAGGATGGTAGCAGAGAACTCTAACCCTTGCTAACCAAGATATTTTCTTATTCTTATATTGGTTTTAGGTTATTTGGATTCCAAATTGACTGGCCATGAGTGCAATTGACTTGACTTCCATCCTTGATCTTCTGGACGTGGGCAATTTCTCTGATAGCAACTGGACGTGCAACAATGGAGACTGCATCATTGTCGATACACTCTCGTGCCCTAGCACACTTAATAAAAGTGTCTTATTGTACACCCTCTCTATCTTCTACATCTTTATCTTTGTGATAGGGCTGGTGGCCAACTCAGTGGTTGTCTGGGTCAATCTCCAGGCCAAAGCAACTGGTTATGAAACCCACCTCTACATCTTCAATCTAGCCATCGCCGACCTGTGCGTTGTCATCACCCTTCCAGTCTGGGTGGTCTCCCTTGTCCAGCATAACCAATGGCACATGGGAGAAATCACATGCAAGATCACTCACCTCATATTTTCCATCAACTTATATGGGAGCATCTTCTTCTTGGCATGTATGAGTGTGGACCGCTACCTCTCGGTTGCCTACTTAACCAACTCCAGTAACCGCAAGAAGAAGATCATCCGACGCTTTATCTGCATCTTTGTGTGGCTTCTTGCCTTCTCTGTCTCTCTCCCAGACACCTATTACCTGAAGACTGTCTCTTCAAACAATGAAACTTACTGCCGCCCTCTCTATCCAGAGGAGAGCTTCAAAGAGTGGCTGGTTGGCATGGAGCTCATCTCTGTTGTGTTGGGCTTTGCCATTCCTTTTCCCATCATTGCTCTTTTTTATTTTCTCCTTGCAAGGTCCATCTCTGCCTCCAGTGACCAAGAAAGGAAGAGCAATGGGAAGATCATTTTCTCTTACGTTGTTGTGTTCCTTGTCTGCTGGCTGCCCTACCATGCGGTCGTCCTGCTCGATATCTTCTCGGTCCTTCATTTTATACCCTTCAGTTGTCAAATGGAGAACTTTCTGTATGCGGCTCTTCACGTCACCCAGTGTTTCTCCCTCATCCATTGCTGCGTCAACCCCATGCTCTACAGCTTCATCAACCGAAATTACAGATACGAGCTCATGAAAGCCTTTATTTTCAAGTACTCGGCCAAAACAGGCCTCACCAAACTTATTGATGCTTCCAGAGTATCGGAAGCTGAGTACTCTGCTCTGGAGCAAAATGCCAAATGATCGCCACTCCATAAGGACTCATCTTGGACCTTTTCATACTTGTCTCTGATGGGGCATGAATTCACAGCTTGGAAGAGAAATAAAGAACCATAATGTAAATTTAGAGTTTTTGAGCAAACCAAAATCATGCATTATTTTAATGTGTTTTGTTTTATCTACTGCTAGCTAATCCAGCCTTTCTGGACCGAGACCACGGTGCAAATTCTATGCAAATGGGTGAGAATTTGTAGTAAACAAAGCCATTGTGTACCACAGGTATCATGTGTCTTCAGGATAGGCTTTTTTTTCCATGTGTAAAGGAGACCCTCTCTTGGTTTCATTGTATATGTGTTATATAGATATAGATATATATAGTGCATTGTATTTAAAAACCCAAGACTTTATTTTCTGGCTGTTGGTGTACCTTATACAAATGTATTTGAAAGTTTAAATATATTTTTATCATGTATTTGAAGTATATTGCTGATAATTGTATCCAGAGTGCTGTAGTCTGAATGTTAGTCCAATTATAGTCAAAATGAATGACAAAGGATGACTTTAATAGCTATATGGAGATTATGTATTATGTGTGTGTTTGTCTACTTTGGCTGGCACACTTTATTTACAATAGCTTTGTTGTGGTTTATACCTATATGTATGGAAATAAGCTGTATGTACAGTACTGTGATATAGTTTGACATCATATTAAAATTAACAGTAACGTAAGAGGTTAACTCCCACTTCCATGTTTCACCAAGCAGTATCCTTATGCACAAAATGAATGACCTTATTTCCAAGAGTCCTCTCTATTTGTAAGTTATTTTTTTAAAAAATAAAAATCTGGAAAAATACACAACAGTGGTTTAACTTCTTTTCTTTTTTTTTAAACTAACCCTTTTACTTTCTTTGATGCAAGAGCAGACCTAACACATACACGTGTACGTGTGTGTGTGTGTGTGTGTGTTAATGGCAGACAGAAACAATTTAAAGAGGAAAGTCAAATAGGATTTGCTAATGGTAAAGCTAAGGGGGAAAAGCAGTGGTGTGGATGGGAGTAGGCTTTTGAACAAACAATCTATTTAGAAGATGAGTCAGCTGTACTCTTAAGGTAAATGCATCCGATGAAGTGATCTGTAGCTCATGAAAGCTTATGCTCAAATAAATTTGTTAGTCTCTAAGGTGCCACAAGTCCTCCTTTTCTTCTTAAGGTAAAGGCTGCTAGAAAAGACAGGATCCTGAGAATGAATACACAAACAAAATTTGGAGAGCATAATAAAGCAATAGGATTTGACATAAACTAGGCTTAGTCCCTTGCTATTTCATTGCGCTAGAATTCAGAGGTTTGCAAGTTTCCTTCTGACAGTCCATTTATTTTTAACTCGCTTTATGGCTTCCTATTTGTATCACGATAGTGCCTAGGAGCCCTAGTCATGGACCAGTACCCCACTCTGCTAGGGGCCGTACAGACACAGAACAGAAAGGTGCTCCTTGCCCCAAGCAGCTTCCAACGTAAGTACTTGCAACATCAAATTTGCAAACCATTGGGCCAAATTCAGCCAACCAAGGAGAGCCACTGAAACTCATAGCACCACAAAGGTTCTTTACTCCTTGGCCAGGTGATATCCGATCACATGGGCAACTTCTTTCTGTGCTGACTGGCTTACTTTCACTGTTTTGCATGCCGCTTTAATTATGGCGCTCTGGCAGTTATTTCCCAGTCAAGGTTGCTGCAGAGCTTCCATTAGAAACCTAATTTTGGCTCCCCTTAAAAAAAAAAAAAATCAATTTTGAAATTGGAAGGTTGGGGTTTTCCTACAAAATTTGGATATGGTGTTCCTGAATTGGATGCTCTAAAAACTGTCTGTCAGGGTTCAAAAGCCTTCTATCCCTTCCCCCACACTTTCCTTAGGCCTGTTTGGTGCTGCAAAATTTTACAGGTTAAAAATTGCCTTATTTCAGCACATCTTTATATGCAGCCACTCAAAAGCGAGACTTCAAAACCCTGAGTTTTCTGTCAGTCAAACTAAACTGCCTCCCCAAAGAACGGAAGTCCTCTAGTGTCACTCTTTCACTAGTACAGTGCCAGAGTGGACTCTGCATTACCGTTACTGATTCAAACAGTCCTCCTGGAGCAATCCCACAGTGCCCCTATCCCTGCATTGACAACTGCTCTGGTCACAATTTTGAATCTGGTAAAACTTTGTAGTGAAAATGTGGCCTTAGTTTCCCTTTGCAAGAAAAAACAAAACAGAAACCAGGAGTTAAAGAAGACTTAGTTTATTAGACTCTCTTAGGTAAGGACTTGTCTACTTGGGAAAGTTTGACGAGTTATATCAGTATAGTTAAACCAATATATAACTCCCCATGGGGACACACTCTTATTCTAGCATAAGAATGACTTTTAACAGTTTAGATTAGACCGTTTCCAATAATACATAAACTAAACTGGAAAAAGGCACACTTCTACTGGAATAAGTGTGTCCACCAGGGGTGTTATGCCTGTATCAGTTTAAATTTACACCTTATCTTATACTTTCCTCTCTATACAAGAATACAGTACCTGGGACCAAAATTGAATCAAATTAAAAGAAATCATCTGTGTGAAGAGGAGGGGGAGGGGAATAAACCCCCGGGTCCATGAGCCGTGCCAGTGAAATCAAACAAAATAGTTCAGAACTTATTGGTAAGGAGTTAACTATACTTGGATGACTTCATACAGGAAGAATGTGACCTGCATTAAAAGTGCTATCCATGGGGTAGGAATACCTGTATAGATGAATGAAATCTAATCATTGGTTTGTAGTCCCAATTTACCTTCCAAGCTTCACACACCATCTTCCCCTAAGTGCTGCATTTCGTATTAGGGTCTGAATTAACAGGAAGATCTTGACAATCGCCTGTTGTGAGCGAGCTCCTGGCCCAAGATGGCTACCAGACCTTGTCCGTCCCAGCATATGGATGGAAGAATTGAAGAATGGCCTGGTAGGCTTGAATGAAAGGGAGGCTAAACCCTTCCACTTTTTGTCTGCTCTGCTGGGGGAAATTCCAGCACAGAGGTGGAACGCATGTGTTGCTCCCCTCATGCACCATTTTAAGGCTGTCTGTGACAGGGCACTATCAGCAGCACCCTGATTACTGACATGGCTGCTGCCTGGAGAAAGCTGCAGGCCCAGCCCTGGGTGGGGGATTGTGAACAGCTGGGTGACAAAAAGAAAAGGAGTACTTGTGGCACCTTAGAAAGCTTATGCTCAAATAAATTGGTTAGTCTCTAAGGTGCCACAAGAGAGCCAAGCCACATCATCAACACTAACCTGCATGGGGAAGTCTGAGGGGACCCCCCTCAGATGAAGAACCTGAGGCAGAGATGTGCAGGGCTCCACCATGCGGTGCTCTAGAGGCAGCAACCCCGTTACAGAATGGAATAGTGACTGTAAGTTGTAGCATTAACAGTAGCGCTGGTTACTACAAGCTGTCTAATAATGAAGGCTCCAATCCTGCTTTGTGCAAGGGGAGCCCTGTGTTTGCACAGGGCTAGTTGCGGGAATACAGCCTAAGAGAATTACTCAGTGACCCGCTTCCCAGATGTGCTGAGCACCCAGAAATCCTCTTGACTTCATTGGGAATTGCACGTGCTCAGTTACCAAGAGGCTGGGTTATGTACAAAAGCTCTGAATGGCAAAACGTATAAACATCAAACAGAACCTGTCATCATACCTTTGGAACCCGTCGTTCTGCTTCGCTGGTTTACTTTATGGCCGAAAGAATTCCAGAGCAGTAAGAGTCCACATGCCTTAGAGGCAGGGACTAACCAAATAAAAATCCATCTGCTGGATGAGAAAAGACTGTGTGCAGGCCTGTTTTATTATTATTCAAACACATATTTTTTTTTATGAGTCATAGATGATAGCCATTGGGGGTAGCACAGTGATTTTAAATCAGATCCTCTGGCAACCTTGTATTGTAGGAAGTGCCTAAGTAACTGGCCTGTTTCTCCTTTGGCTTAACGAGGCTGACTTCAGACCCCAGCCTGTGATAAGGTCACTGGGCATAAAATCCATTTAAAGTTCCTTAGAGGTAAGAAATAACTTAACTGTGAAGGAAGTTTTATGCCCATGTCCATGGTGGCTCTGCCAAAGATAATGCTTAATCCATTTAAAAGAGCTACTTGGTGGGGTGAATGGTGGAGTTTTAAGACTTGAACCATATGGATGGACCGTACACCTGCATGGAGCCTCTGTGATATCAGTGGGGTTCTTCCTGGGCAGAGGGGATGGCCCAGGTGGGTGGTACGTACAAAGCAGTAGTCTCATTTGTATGTTGACACTGAGAATCCCAGCTCTAATATGGTGTGTGGCTATGGACCTTTTGGGCCAGGATCTGCTCTCAATTACACCCCCAGAGTAAATCAGGAGTAACTCCACTGATTTTACTAGGGGTTATCTAGGATCTCCACTGGTGTTACTGAGCACCATGTTATCCTCTGGAATCCCAGCAATGATCCTGAAAGGCTTGCATGCATTTGTTTGGGAGTTTGGGTTTTGCAAAATAGCTTAAAGGTTGTATGTGCACATTCCATGATTGCAGAAAGATTTTAAAAGATATTGTTATGGAATATCTCAGCTATAACAGTAAGGAACATACATAATATTTATAGTACATATTGCTGCCCGCAGAGTTATCATTATAGCTATACCGTGGCTTTCTTTCCTTTCAGCACTTGCTGTTTTGCGAGGACGCCTGTTTTTGTTCTTCTGCTAACCAGTAGCTTATGTTCAAAAGGGGTATTAAATTTCCAAGGATTATAAAACATATTTACATAGGTCAACAGCATAAGGGACAGATCCTGAAGTCCTTATTTAAGGGCCTGATCCTGCAAACATTACTCACATTAGTCGTTCTTACACATACGGTCCCGCTGATGGAGAAATTACTCTCATGAGTCAATTCCATGAGTTAGGGCTGGGGGTTCAGATCTCTAGTTCTCACTTGATTAACACACTGCATTTAGTGGATAGTTTATCTAAGGGCAGAACTGAATAAGGAGATGTCACAATTTAGCTTTAGAATACAAAATAACCACAAAAATACACATACAAGAAAAGGAAAAAAAACAACATCCTCATCTTTTGCAGTGGATATTCTATCCTACCTTATTTGTATAGACTCCTCTTTTAATGATTCACATTAATTCCTTTCACTAGGAATTCTAATTATGAGGGTCAGCCGGACTAATCAACCATACATTCCATTCTTACTGTGGTGTCCAGCTCATTGATCCATTATTGAATGATAGCTTGGGAGCTCCCTCACCACAAGGCCAGGTCCTGATGTTCTTATTCATGTTGCATAGCACCTGACTCCAAGAGTGGTCCTGTTGGAAGCTGCTATTCAACCTGCAAAAGGGCCCCAGAATCAGTCCTCCTGGGATTGCCACCTTATCTAATATATACACAGAAATATTAAAACAAACCAACAGGTTACGTCCTTTGGCAGTGTAGCTCAGCTTAGCGCCATTGCAAAGTGTGAAATCCACAGAGCTAAACTCGTTTTACACCAGCTGAGAATCTGGTCCATGATGTTCTATATCACGTTGGATCCTGTTATCCAGTAGTTCAAAGCTGACTGATGTTTTTTACCTTTACTTTTCAAGGTAGGAAAAGAAAAATACTAACATCCTGTACTGTACTATTTTCAGAATAAAGCAAAAGAATTAAATTACATTTTAACAGCACAATCCTGACAACAGCAAAGGTCAGGGAACTTTTAAGTAAGGTCACCCTATCGATTGCAGCAGCAAAAGGATTAACATCAAATACTTTACCATGAAACGCTGAAAAGAAGCAAATTCAGCCTGCT